TAGATAAATAAGATGGTACAGTATATAATTAGTCCACTCTGACTTCAATTAAGTGATTACATTCCTATGTGGAAATTCTTCGGCATTTGAAAGACTAAGTTCAATGATGCCACTGACCTTCCAAATACTTGGGAGCCTTTCTCATTGCCAACACTCATATTTCCCAGAAGGCTATCTATGGATTCTGAAGAAGGCCTCCCTGGGTTGATGATTTCTTGAACTTATGGAGAAGAACCTTAAAGATACTATGAAAGTTTAAAATAATAGTAAAGAGAACATACTAGATAAATTAATGTGCCAGTCAGAATACTAATTTATGCTATATTCATATCATTAGTGTATTTATGAGGGGCCTCAAAAATTTGTACATAAATTTAATTCTACTTAAATCTCTTTCTCCGTGAACTTTCTGCAGCCCCCTTCTCCTCAGACATTTGATCCCCACACCAGAGATGTCTATATAACTTCATTTTACAGAAACATGGTCCCCGAGCTGGGAGGAGCCCAGGTGGGACCCAAACAGGCCTACCAGAGTTGAAGCTCAGGGTTTTTATAGCTGGCCTCTCTTAGTTGAAAGATGAAGACATCAAGGCACAGAGAAGTTAACTAGCCCACTGTCACTTCAGAAATTACAATCAATCATTCCACAAACAGTCAAGCACACTTCACTACCACAGTGAACACTAGCACATCTAGATTTTCACACTGAGAGATGTTGACTGCGGCAATATATATTTTTAAAACAAAGAGCTTAGGAAGATTCATAATTGGCTTCTCCAGAAATTAAATGCACACTCCTTTATTCACACATTATCTATAATCTGGTGTTCAGCCTTAAACCTCCATGTGTCTAGAACAAAAAGAAAGTCTCAAGGTGGCCAGCAGGTGCCAGGGAAGAGAAGGGAATGAATTCTGTCCCGGGACAGGAGGAGAATCAAGGGAAATAGTGGAAAAAGCTGGGAGGCAAAGGGCATTTATAGAGGTCTAGATAAAGACACGTACATATGCAAATATATTTATATGAGAATGGGGAAATAGATCTATGAGCCTACATTTATAGGTTTACTATTAAGGAAGCAGAAGGACATTGGGCCTCCACTCACTTACTCCGTCAATGCAAGAATACTTTCTTCTATTAAACTGGCATTCTATGATGCTCACCTTCCCGACACAACCGCTGAAGACAAAG